GTAAGCACTTTCTTCCGATCGTTCAGTTTGTATGACAGCTATATGCCTTAGTGGGTCGATGACGGTATTTCCGAGAAATGAACAGAATGTTGGAGAAAAAAGAACTCAGCTCGCCATTTGGATCATTTATAGGGTCTGCGAAGTTTTCAACTTGGTGTTACAGACAACGTGGCAAACTTAATATACCCTGTGCAGGGTATAACAATCCGATATGATAATTTTACTGTTTTTAAATTGAATAACGTTTTACATTTAACATGCCCAGATCATGAGATATGCATAAGAGTCTTCCTGATCACTTGCCTGCTCCACATAAGGGCGCAGTGATCTTTTGAATTGCAAATCATTTCGGATGCCTCATTTAATTTATGACCAATAAAAACTGGATCGATTGCAAACAGCTGATCTTGTGGAAAAAAAACATCGATAAGAGCTCAAATTATACGAATAATTGATTTGCAAGTGAGTGTATGCAAATTAGTTGTTGATAAATATTTATGTATAATTGAAAGTATTTAGAAATGTGTACTGCCATTTCCGTCACGTCACACATTGAAGACGTGGAGTGAAATAAGAAATTGAAGCCACTTAAATGTAACAGAAGCGATAAATTTGCATTTCCTCTGCAATTCTACAAGGCGACGCAACACGAGAATGGAGAAGACACTTCATAAACATACATACATATATGCATATAACAGATACATAGTATTTAAAAATATGTACATACATACATATGTATGTATATAGGCTGTCTCTTATACACATCTAGATGTGTATAAGAGACAGCTACAAGGCGACGCAACACGAGAATGGAGAAGACACTTCATAAACATACATACATATATGCATATAACAGATACATAGTATTTAAAAATATGTACATACATACATATGTATGTATATAGGTAATTGAAGTGAAGATGATGACGATGAGGCGCAGAATAAACGCCACACAATGCAAAAGTCAAACGTAGGCAGTCTTAAATGATAGCCGGGACAAACATATTTCCAATTCTACCGAAGAATACACCTCAGATGTTGTTGTTTTCATGCACCGGAGCAGTGAAAAGAATGGGTAGAGAACTATGACTATATGGTACGTCGCATATTCTTATGTATGTACATATGTTCTTAGTGCGTCTTTTTGCGATGTCTTCTGCTGTGTCGTCTGCCATTTGCTGTCCTCTTTATGCGTCTTACGTACATAGGTATGTATGTATGTTTGTATGCCGGTAAATGCATACAAGCAACCAAGTAAATGCAATTAATCAAATGTCATAAGGTACAAAAGATGCCAAGAGGTAAGGTGAAGAAGCAACAAATACTACACACATAAAGAACTATGAAACGTTTTTAGCCGAAAGGAAAATAATAAATAACTTGGCGAACTGTCACTATCAATTCTTAAAAATTTCAATTCAAAAATGATCAGAAGGTCGATAGGACCTCAAGTAAGTTATTACATACATAGATTAACTTTGTAATATATTAGGGTGTGCTTTTGCTCCGGTTTGGGGAGCGGATCGAACAGATCTGTCAAGCTGTTGCTCGCAACCACATAGGTTTATTGCTTTTTTGCGACTCTTTTCGATTTTCGCACATATTACCAAATCGCAACTCATGACTCACTGCAACGTATGACTGTCGTACAGTAATTATCTTTTGTTCTTTTATCAGGTACTTAGTACCCGTTGAGATGGTAAATATTGTTGTCGACGCCATTAAACGGAAGGGCCAAGTTTCGGCGGAGTCGGAGCAAAGGGAGAGGAGTGTCAAATGGATGGGGTTGGTGGGGAATGCAAAGAGGTAGCCAGTGTCATGCGGACACTCATTGAACGCAAGACTGTATATTGGATATATCGGGATCTATTCTGGATAAGTAGAAGTTTAACCTGCTACAGTATCCAGAACGAAGCTGCGCAAGGGTCACTCTCATTTTCTGGCGCAACTCGAGCTCTTTGTGGATAATGGGTGGTGGTTTGACTCTCGAGTACGAAATTCACTGAAAGGGAGTCGGGGAAGGTGTTGATGGCTAAACTGTTACGTCGTCGACGTAATTGAGGAATGGCCTCAATAATGCTCCTAGGATTCAGTTTTTGCGAAAGCACCCCAGCAGGAAGTAGTCCGGAGTGCAATATTTTAACAGGTCTGTAGCTTCCTCGTTTGCATGTCACTGCATCCAGGCGACCATATTGCTGCGGCATAGTTAAGACTCGGCCCGCCGATTGCCTTGTAAGTTGCGAATAACGTTTCTTTATCCTTTCCCCATGTGCTGCCGGCTAGCGACTTGAGGATTTTATTGCGGCTCTGTACTATGGCGATAATCGCGGTTGTATATGGAGTACAGTAATTATCACTATTATATAGGCCTTTATTGACATATGACTTTAGAACTAGAGCCTTCATGGTATGCTGTGTCCACGCCTGCTGTTGTAACACTTCGTTTAACCCAGCAAAATTATAGAGGCTTAGTAAAGCTCTGGATTAATGGTTGTAATGTGTCCTTTCACCGGATTTAATTGTCCTGTCATTCTTGCGATTGCAAGGGGATATTTAAGAAATATGTGGTGTGGTATATCTGCTATTTGATATCGATTCAAGTAGTAACTACTTCCTCGTGGCTATGTCGAATGATTTTACAGGATAAAAATTCGCTTCAAGAAAAGCTTGTGTAAATCGACTTTCCCAGATTTTTTGGCAATAAGTTTCGTGTTTTTTTTTTTCAATTAGTAAAGAAATAAGCTTTTATTAAAATAATTAATATTAAATCTTCTCTTGAATTAATTGAAACAAAATTAAAGTCCGAATTTTTTTCTCACCTACTGTAAATTATAATCGCCTGCGTGATAATCATGTCCATCATCAGTAACCACAAAAACAATATTAACCAACGACAAAACAGAAATAATGGATGATAATAAATGAAATAAGCAGCTCGATGTAACAAGACAGACGCCACTGAACTTGTGACTTAAAAGGCGATGCGCCATCTCAACATAACGCACACATACATACTTATATACAGATATCTACACGGCCAGGTGTGCATGTGTAGGTGTGCGCACGAGCTTTTAACGCCCGCCCGAGCAATGCGTGTGCCAGCCCAAAAAGGCAACTCAGCCAGACACGCGCCCGCCCATGTGGCGACTGCCTGATGTTGCCAACGCCACTGCTGCTGCTGCTGCATTATGCATGAGAACCCAGAAGAGAGCAAAGAAACGGTACAAAACTCACTTCGCCATGCACTTTCGTACCTTAAGATATATATGTACATAACTGCATATGTACCTAAATTTATATACAGGAATTACATGAGCCACATGTGTACATATGTACATACGTACATACATACTTATGTATCTCAGTAATATATATACATATGTATGTATTTGTGGCTATATACCAGCACGCAGTTTTCCACACCAGCATTCTAACATAAAGAAAGTGCACAAAGAAAATTGTTAAACAATTTGCTGCAGTACCGTAAATTGAGACACATGCCGATATTGGAGATATACTCTGGCGCATCTGTGTGTGTATACATATGTATGTATATATGAAGGCAGAATGAATTGCGAATATCGCCAGCAGAAACGCAATCAGAGTGGGGCAACATGCCAAACGAAGAGGAGATAAAAACAAAGGAAGAAAAAGTGCAGGGGGGAGGAAAGGAATTCACCCAAGGCAGCATAAAACCCCCCAAGGGAGGCATTTTTCATAGAGCGCAGAAGCTTAAGTGAGAAGCATCAAATTCTACGTTTCTAGCTTGTTGTTGCTCAGAAAATAGGAGCAACAACAAAACATTGTTATGTGCCAGCAAGAAATTCGTGCTGTGCAATAAATGCGTTCGACTCGTTCTTTGTTGGCGATAAGTGCATACATGCATACATACAAACGCAATGTCATATATGCACATACATAAATATGTATGTATGGTTAGATTTGTCTGTGCAGATGTGCAATATTGCCAATATTTGTTTTGGTTCTTGTAAATTGACTTTTCTTGTTGGCTGGGTGGGTCACTGGCCTTCAAGAAAAGTCAACGAAATTTACTCCAATGCAGCAAAGCAAAAACAAAATCGCTCGTGGTGGAAAGTGAGAGCAACAGAAATTTAAACAAAAGCAACAAGGAGATGAAAGCAAAAACGCATACAAACAACAAAAGAGGTCGCTACTTAAGGGTCAAAGGGACCAATTAAGGGACACGAACCAATAAAGCATACAATTTTATATCAATAATAATTACTTTTTAATTCATCTAAAATGTAATTTTTGATAAAGCGCCTTAATATATGCAATATATTTCATTACTGATATTCAATTGTTGCCTACATTTAGGATGTTTGTAAATAACAATGAAAAATCAGGGATTTCAAATTCCCGAAATTCAAACAGAAGCATTGTTAGGGCCGTTTTTTGAGTGTCTTGTTAGCAGCCAACTGACCGTTAAGTTCTGGTTAAAAAAAAAAGTTCGTTACCGAAAGAACGAGTCTTGGTGAAGTTGACCAGAACTTAACTGACAGGTGGCTGCTAAGGGGCATTTTCAAGTTCAATGATCATTCCTCGCAAGTTTCTCGAAAGACAAAAAAATTTGGCAGTAAGGCCGTGCCTCTCTCTTTAATTCGACCCCAGTTTCAGCAGGGGTTCACGAATATTAGTTTTTCATATATCTACCAGTGTATAAGCTGTTGTTATTGTAAAGCATACAACAGTTCCATAAAAATTTAGAGAAGTGTTCCTTCTGTTTACGTAAACCCAATTAGAAGTCGACAGACCCCTCCCAAGGTGTTCGAATTCAGCAAGAGGCGGACGAATTAGTTGAACCACGATCACAACTTTACTTCTCTCTATCAATGCCGAGCTTCAATTTGTTGTTTATTGTAAAAATTTTCAAATGATTTTCCATATTTCTAATAAATTGTAGTACTTACGAAACTCCTAATACGATTTGACCCGTCGATTACGATCACAATTAAGTTTTTGCAAAAACAACAACATTTCAAAAATATTTGTTTAATAATGAATCTTAAAAATGATTTACTTCCATACATAAAGATGTTAATCAACATAACATATTTGTTTTACATACATATTTGTATCAGTAAATATCAGATCCGATAATCAGATAATCGCTCGCATAGTGGTTTTAAAGAAATGACTTCGAACGCCAGTCCGAAAATTCAGAAGTTGCTGTTGTCTCATCATCACTTTCATTCTCATCAGAACTGTGAGTTTCGGATTTGTGGTCTTTATTTACGCTAAGCACACCCTTGCGCGCCTCCAAATTCATATACCTAGACCAATGCTTCATTTGGTCGTTGATCTCATCCAAGTCACGATCAAATGCCGATTCCATTTGCTCACCAGCAATAATTGCGACAGATACAGAGGATGCTTCACGAATTTCACGCTGAAAACGTTCCCATTCATCCGCTTGTGGGTCCTTATATTCTGCATTACGAATTTTCGCATCCTTCACGGGATCGTCAAAGAACTTCTCTGGCAACAAAGTGTCTACGTTATTGGCGGATGCGGGCTTTTCAGTGTAGACAGGTGTAGGCACCGCTTTTGTTACAATTTGTTGTGTGCTTTTAAGACTTTGTTGAACTGCAACAGCCCCTTTCGGCGTTTCTACTACTTTTGTGGATGGTTTTGGCGTTTGTGTTGTGACCGTGGACAACTTCGTAGTCGCTTCCGGTATGCCGCCTTTAAAAGTTGATTTTATTTGCTTTGCAATCGTTATGCGTTCCTTGTGCAACTTGGAGTTTACATGCACCTTCCATAATGTGGCCGATTTCACAGTGACTTTGCAAATAATGCACTCTATCTGGCCATTTGGATTTGTCTTCGCCAATTTCGAATCGACTTTATGCTCTGTTTCGGCTACTTTCGTTCTTGACGACAATCTTAGGCGATTTTCCTGATGCCGCCCCATTTTCTGAAAATTTTTACGCACGCAGTTAGTATTTGGAGAGAGAGGGAGGGAATATTTTATTTTAAGAAATTAAGACATTTCGAATTTCGATAAAAATTTATAGCTAGAAAATCCACAACGCTGCGTACACATGCATACATGTGACGCTTGTCACCACCAAATGTTATAATTGCATGTGTGTGTATATGCATTTGTCGATCCAATCGCTGGCATATGAGGCAAGTGCGGTTTGTGCCCTGATAACTGCGACACAACACAGAATTTCAATGTCGCATCAAATCCACAATAATTACAACGCAATCACAGTCGAACGAAAAAAAGAACAACGTAAAACGTACTACTATCAGTGAGCGCAACGTGGCGTGACGCAACACAATCATTTTACTTCAAAATGTGAAGTGTGAACGTGGTGGAGATGGGCGGCGCGTAAGTGCGACCCGCAAACACTACAAATGAATTTGTTTATCAAAAGCGAATAGCAACACGTATGTACATATTTACTACGTATAAAGTCGTATATTCGCAGAAATACAATAATAATAAATGTATTCATAAAGAAGTACATTCATAGATTCATACATGTATGTATGTAAGCACTCTGTCTTAACAATGGCGTTAATTTTTCTATTTTCAACAAATTTGTGCAATTCTCCAAAAATAACCGAACACTTGAAACACTCAAAGCGCTTTTATCATAAATGGCACTTGTTCGTCATATTTGCATCACAATATTTCAATACGTAAAGTAGAAACAAGCAAGGTGATGCCAAATTAGTTTGAAGCATAATTGCTTTTTACTCTGAAAATGCTTATATACAATCAGTATTATTTTATATTCCTTTTTAATATTAGTTCATATCGAGTGACGTTGAACAATCCTTTATTAATTCAGTCTATACACTTTAAAAATGCAATACCACTTCTTAAGACTCCTTTTTGTCAATCACCTTTCATTAAATCGATTTATATTATTTACTTTGTTTGAAAAAGGTCTAACTGAATCAACTACATAAATAAAAACTCAATAAATGTATGTTATTTTGTCAAAACTACACAGATATTCCAAAGAAAAAAATGTAAGCACGATTCAAACCTTCACATAACGTAACTTTCTTTGGGACCATCAATGAAAACGGCAAGAGGAAGAACAACTATGGAAAAATGTTGAAAACTAAACTGACATCAATAAATATTTTATTGTATGCAAAACGCAAATGTTGTGAGCACATGATACAAATTAAAACAACACTTAAGCTAAATCAGTCTTGTGTAATAATTTAAATTTGCATGCTGACTCCTGTTAACCTGAAATGTGGCGAAGTGAATTGCAACCAGCACAATCAAACAGCTGTTGCAGCAATTCAACAGCTGTATTTCCAAGCACTTAACAACGTTCGCCCCCAGCACCCGCCGGACTAGGGAAGAGTGAATTGGCTTTCGCATGCAAACTGCTTTTGCCAAGGGCAAAGCTAAGCTTCTATGTGCGTGCCAAATGTAATTTACGTAAATTCACATGACATCACACACAAACAGCTGTGCGCACATTAAACAAAACAACAACAAGCAAGAATAGCCAACACATTTGACAAAAACCGAGTTAAGGTCAGATGCGGTCAATTAATTAATATACCAATATGTAGAAATACAGATAAAATTAATACGCTAACATCCGCTGTCATCGATAATACATATATACAACAACAATAATGATTAATTTTACTTATTTTCAAAGCTTTTTACCAATTTGTATTTTTAAGGTTAAATTCAATTGCTTTTGAAATCTTTATTTAATTTCGTCAACTGCGAAAGCTCAGATTGATTTTTCCTAATTTTGCAGGTAAGAACAAAATATGATTAAATTATTTGGTAGAAAGGTATGTTTAACATGCTATGTTATAGTCAGAATAGATTTAAAAATATTTTTTTGCAATTATTTTTAAGTTTATTTGTCAACCAAAATAAAAAAAATGTAGACTGCTCCAATTTTTATATCCTGAGCAGGGAAGTTTGTAATACCCAGAATGAAACTTCGGAGAGCCTATTGAATATACATACATACATATGTACATATAATATGATCAGTGTGCCGAGCTGAATCGTTACAACCATATCCTTCTGTCTGTACTTAAATACGCGAAAACTAGATGTTTTTCTGATATCGATTTGAAATTTGGACTATGAAGATGCTAATTCTTCGGAACTGCGGATATCGGATCACTTTTGCAAATAGCTTAACAATATTGAATATACTGAACGATTCCTTTGACGAAATATCTTTACAAAATTTGGCATGGATTCTTTTCCAAGGTGATGGTATAATTGTGAAGGATATTATAACATCGTTCCAGCCAAAGTTAACGTTTTTATTATTAATTATTTTTGATAAGCATCTGTACATATACAAATTTCACTTAAAATTGTTCAATAGTCTGTTGCACCCAAATCACAATGGGTGCCGATGACCTTTTAAAAAGGATATTAGCGCTTTAGGAAATGTTATGCTTCCATTGTGTACAGTTTAACAAGCAAAAGGTCAGAGTTCATATACAGCACCACATTATATTATAAATTCTGCATTAAATGTTACACACAATATAAGTACAACTAAATGTAAATGCGCCCATCGCAAACTTATGTATATACATATGTATCCCCAAACATACTAACTTATAGTCTATACAAACATGCATTTTCGCACAGTACAAATTTACAGCAATACTCTTGAAAGCTTTCGCTTGTATACACACACATACATATGTATAGATTTGCACAGATCTACTTATGAGTATTTGTATAATTCACAAAACGGCATACAACAACGAAGGTAAACGACCCATCGACTGAATAATATTACGCTTATTTTGGCCCAAATTGACAGAGAGGCGTAAACCACGCTAAGCCGATGAACTGACAACCGTGGGTCTCATGGAAGGGGTAACAGCATGTGCTGCCAACGGCAGACATATAAACAAATAACTTATTAAATGTGTCAAATTCACAAAATTTTAGTTACAATATTAATGATTTTTTTGCACTTAGCGAAACAAATGACCACAACCACTTGTTTGCTAATTTTTGCAATTCATATGAGATATTTTTTGTTTATAGTAATTTTATTTAATTACTTTTTATTCTATTCTTCTTGTTGCCTCTGCTCTGTAGTGGAGGCGAGAATTCGGCTTATATGCCAATCGAGTGCTTTTTCACCGCACTTAGAGAGTCTATTACATTGCGGGGCTTTCATACTGCGCTGGTAGCGGTGACAGAAGCTTTCGCTCAGAAAAGTCACCACCAAATGATCCACGAAGGCGAGAAATTGCGAGAAATCCGTTCCCACGACAGTCGGGTCTACGAAAACCGGAACGGACCCGGATTTTTATCCGACCAAGGACTGTCAACTCGGCAGAATTCTGCCATTACAACAACAACAACAACCACAACCACTTGCTCGAGAATGAAGAGTTATGTTATCATTGTCGTTTCGTCAATCGATGAAGAAAAACATAGTAATGGTTTAAATTACGGGATTTCCGTATCATTTAGTTATAAATAAGTTATAAATAATATTGAAATAAATTACATATTTGCCTCTATAGAAATTTATGGCAATAATCTCAGTTGCATATGCTTTTCATTATTGTAGAAACGTGGGTGTCCATATATAATTAATGTAGGATGTGTATAGTACATGGGGCATAGGATATTTTCCGCATTAATTAGCAATGTTTTTTTATAATATTTCTATTTACTCTCTTATAACTTAATGATTACAGCAATTTTAATTTCTCTATGTCATTGGCAAGCAAAATTAACATTCTCGACCGTTATTAAAAAAAGTACTTGATATAATATAAATATAATTAAACTTGATATTTAAAAATATTACAAGTTCAAATATTAAGAAAACAAAAGTTTTATTTCGGGTTCTTCAATGAAAATCACAAAATAAATATGTATGAATATTTTAAACAAGCCATGGAGGTAATGGCATTCACTAGCGCCCGGCAAACTCTTGAAACTATTCAGGCTGCTGGGGCTCTGGGAGGTCATGTGATATAGGAGAGGGCACAATAGACCCTAGGTCGCGGTGCATTACCTCAATATCATTATCTATCTACGGGGACATGCCTGACGACGTTTATGTACTTACCTAGATTTTGACAATTTCTTGTTTATAAATTTAGGCGATGTAAACCTAGAAATAAAAAAAAAAAATAAATAAAAAATTTTATACAAATTATTCCACTTAGAAAAATATATCGTCTTACCTTCAAAATTGTATATTAATATAGCAGAATTTGGTAATCCCACGATATAAATGTAAACCTGAAATTACATAAATATATTACAATATAATAATGTTAAAAATCTATTAAAAACAAACATATCCGACTAGAAGTTTGCTTAAAATCCGATTAATTTCGGCACGCTGATATTAATACACATGTAGCATATGGCGGAATGGCAAGTTTGATTTTATGCATATTTTTATTGAAATTAAAGTAAAAATCAATATAAATAGGATCCAATAGCAACAAAATCTCAATATAACACATATTTACTAATATACAATTCGTGCCTTACACCTCGTATTAAGTGTACGGCTTTGAAATAGTAAAATGGCATTATAATTAAGCCCAGTTACAGAGCACTAACCAACACCAAATACAAATATTCCATTTTGCGATTAGCAACAACAAATTGATTTTTAGAAATACATCATATTCATCATTAAAACCACTTACACTGTTGCCCCGATATTTAAAAGCCACCTAATATTTCATATTTTTTCGGGTAATATGTTGATTTAATGTATTTTAAACGTTTTTTATAAATATTTTATTAATTATTTCTGGCACAGACAAACAGCAGAAGCTAATGAAAATTCACCACTCACCAAATGGTAGGGTTGCTTCAATTTCTCGAATGTGAAGTGTAAATTAATCATTGTAATCGATAACAAATAAAAGAACACATTTTATGCACCGCATATATTGAAACCAAATCTTTAATAAAAATTTAAAACTATAAACAATCATGTAATAATTATTCAAAAAATTTATTAGTGCTGCGACTTTATGTTAAGATTTTATATTTATTGTTTAGTAAACACAAACAAACAAATTTAAAGTTTAGTAAATTAAGTCATTAAACAAAATGTTGTTTTCGTTCAATGATAAATGCCACTAACTATTACTTCAAGATTTGACTTATTATTGAATAATATTTGACACTGAATATAGACAAAAAAATTAAATGTTGACCATTCGTTACTACAAAGTTATACTTTATAAGTTAGCTGATTAATTCGATTTTCGACTTATATGTCAAAAACGATTTTTTAACTTTGCAAAATAATATATTTTATTTTATTTTAAATAAGAAACTTAAAAAGTTCCTCATGGAAACTTATTCATTTTCGAGCTGTAACTATCGATATTTTCACATGTGAATCTATTACAAAATTGGTGCGTGTTTGTCAAAACATCTTGTCGTTTGGAAAATTTGTAATTGCAAAATTTCTGTTCCTTCGTTGCTCAGTTCGGAATATATCGCTGTTATTATTACGATTTTTGCAGAAGAAATTCGAAAATTTTAAAGAAAGTGTATTAATTTACCGCTGGCTATTTAAAAATGTCATATCTTGGAAAAGGATGTAACGTATTGCCTAATGTAAGTTTAGCTTCCATTATAAAGAGCGCCAGCTCTGACATTAATTAATAGTAACGGTTGTATTTTCCCTACTTCCATTTTAGAGTAGCGACCTTAATGAGCTAATCGAGGACACAAGTTTATTAATCGCATCCGTATACACTATGTTGGATCGGACTCAAAGCACACCACAACGAACTGCGTCATCACTCGGGCGTAGGTCCCACAACAATAGCGATAGCAGTGGCCAACTTGAAAGGGCAAATTCTAATTCTAGCTCACCGAAATCGCCGAAAACACCACGTTTAAATTTACCCGCTAGAACAACATTGTCCACACCATCAAGTAGAGAAATTGAACAGGAAGTCAATCGAAGTAAATAAAAACTAAAAGTCACTTCTTTTTGGGAATTTGTGTAAGCTTTTTTCTACAAATTTAGTAGATCGATTTTGTGAGATGTTGGAGCGCAATTTACGCACTGTGGCTTCGGAGCAAGAGCAACTCGTTGGCAGACGTCTAGAATTAACATCACCAACTACTCCACGTAATTTTAAAACTAACTAAACTAACAACTTAAAACATAGTTAGATTTTATCGTATTTCAGCAACAGAGAGACCTCAACCGGTAAGAACAAATAGAGTGCGCGCACCAACACCCGAGGAAGTAATCGATTTAAGTGATTCAATGAATATGCCGGTACCAATTAGGCGGTCCTATCCATTTAACGACGATGTAATAGTAGTGACACCAGATGATGGAGATGTCGTTGATCTTTGTACACCAAATTTCCGTCGAAATAATGGACGCTCAAGAAATAGACGAACCACCACTGACGTTAATGCCAGAACCGGGAACGCAACACGACAACGTTTGACCGCATCACGTCGCTTAAGCTCTGCAAGCGGTCATAGAGCCTCATCACGTCGTTCACTAACTTCGAACGAAGGCAGTTCGTCGGTTAGCTTCACCTCCGCAACAACATCAACAACAAACATAGGAACAGCAAACAAAGACAAAGTTAATGAGTGGTCGCCTGGTGCACAAGTTGCAAGTTCCGATGCTGGTGTGGTGAACGAAAGTGGCCGCGTCCCTTTTATGTGTGCTGTTTGCATGGAGAGTTGCGTCAATAATCAACCCACATCAACCAAGTGTGGTCACGTTTTCTGCGCCAATTGCATACGTCAAGCCTTACGTTTGACACGCAAGTGTCCCATGTGTAATACCAAGCTCAGTCCCAGCATGCTATTCCGTATATATATTTAAGTTATAATCGAAGCCAATTGTTGCACACTTTAACCAGCGCTTATGGGCTCCAACTCCTTAAAACAGAAAACGGTAAATCATAATCATTCTAATGTTGCTTGCTTTTTATAGGAATTTCATATATTATTTTAACCATTTATTTGCTCAGAATTTAAGTTTGTTGTCATGTCTCATGTAAAAACTATAATAGTAAAATCTAAGTTAGACCGTATGTTATTTTTTCAAAACTTTTATATAATATTTTCATTCAAACTCACCTAGAAAGAAATGTATATATAAAAAAAAAAAAAAAATGTAGTGCTTTATCTGAAAAAGTATGATGCGATTTTTTATTTTATTTTCATATTGAAAACAAGAACTTCCGTTATGTGATTCGCCATGCCGTTATCAAAAATTTATTTGCAGTTATGTATGTACTTTGCTTTGCAAATATTTTGTGACGTATTCTTTCAAATTTAGTTTGCCGGGCATACGAAAATTGATTGGGGTTAGAATTTAAGCAAATAAAAATGTAAAAGAACTAATATTAATAAAAATCGTATCTTTTTCATTCTTTTGTTGTCTTTCATTTCGGGTGAAGCATTGTAAACTGTCAAGCCTTTGACAAGTTTACAAAATGTGAACACACACTTCTATGAGTAAATTTGAAGAACAATATTTTTATACTTTTTGTAAAATCAGCTTTTTATACATTTTTTATAAAGTCAACTTTTTGTATACTTTTTGTAAAATCAGCTTTTTATATATTTTTGTAAATACTATTTTTTTATATAATTTTTGTTTTTGTTAAACTAATCTTCAATTAATCATCCGTAATTTATGTGAATTATGTAAAGTCCACAAAATTAACTAAATACTACGCGAAATTCCAAATAAAGTTAGTGCAACTAAGATAAAGCGAAAAAGTGCGAGCGCCAATGCCTTGAATGCCATGAAGCATTCACCTCAAAATCGTACCCAAGCGAAACCCTTAATTTCGCGCCGATCCGCTTCGATCTTCGACGCGCTTAATCCCAGTTTGACTAACCTGGAATCGTTGGCATTGCAGAAAGCGTGGAGAATTCTAGAACCAAAATTGCGCTCGCTCTCCACCGATATACTTATGGAGTAAGTGCAGCCGCTACTTTTACTCAATATTTACTGCCATTATGCACTGCTTTAACAGCCTCTATTCGGAGCATTACGAGATTATGGAAAAGTTTCGCGATGAAAGTGGCAAATTATGTAACTATGAATTGATAAATTACACAACTTGGCTGCTACGGCTTTACGGCACGATTATAAATAATAAAGTAGATCCCATTAAAACGAAGAAAATATTGGAACCCTTGATAGAGAAGCTGAAGAAGTATTCCATGGATGTGGTTTGCGTAAAGGTGTGTTCCATTTTATGTTTTAATTGTAATTTTATTAATTTACGTTTGTTTCTTAATTTCTTGTAGCTCCAGTTGGAGGGTATTAAACATTTTATATTTGCTGAACTACGGAATGCCTTATCGCCCACATCGATCGAGGCCTTCAATAAGCTCCACAACACTATTATCAGATATGTTCATATAAAACTTAATTTACATAATATACAGTGAATCAAAAAAAAGATTAGGCGCACCGTAAACTTTAATTTTTATTCCAAAATTACAGTGGTCTCTTTGTATCTACAAAAGTAATAATAATAATGTGTTTCAATTTCAACAAGATGCTGCAATGCGTCCCCAAACCATTACGTTACCGCCGCCATGTTTCACAGTCTTAATTATATTATTTTCCTGGAGTGGAGTCCAGAAATAATTGGCTTACGTCGCAGAACTGGCTCGTGATAACCAGCTTTGTGTAAAGTGTTACGTACAGTTTGTGGCTCAAAAGTTTTTTCAAAGCTTTGTTGCATCTTCATCATCTTGACACAGCTTTAATGCTGAAATCTTCGGATTCTGAAATACAGCTCCTTCCTGGCATGGTCTGAATTTTTTGGGCATTAGCGCACTTGAACAAGGTCTCCATACTATATGACCAATTTCATGATAAGATTTTTGCTGCAGGTTTAAAATAATTATGTGATTAATTGAAAGAGAAAAAAAAAATAAAGCGTGTATTTCCTAAAAACTTAACTTACTCACAATTTCACAAATAACGGAATATTTCTTTACTTAGTATGATATACTACATATGTACATGTATGTATGCAACTGCGTCGAAAATTGAACAACTTCAAAATAATTATGAGTAATAAGCCGCAGAACCTTATTCATGAGCGTTTCGCCATTTTTTCAGGCATTTCGCGTTTCTTATGAAACAACGGAGTATTTCTTAACTTATTATGATATACATATGTACATGTATGTATGTAAGCTAAGTTGGTAAGTTGGTTAAAAAAAATTGTGTTTTCAATTTTGAATAAACTTTCTGGCAAAGACAACGCCTGACGAGCTGAGTCGATTTAGCCAACTTCGTCTGTCCGTCCGACTCAGTTTTTGAGTTATCGATCTCAAATTTTGCTTATATCTTTCATATTTTGGTAATGCCGATATCGGAAACTATAGTCTATAGTTGCCATAAAACTCTGAATTAAGTTCTGTTATGGAAAACTTCACAAATCTAAATCGCGTTCTTGTATGGGAAACTCATTATTTGACAAGATAATTTTCGACATTTGGCTTAATTATTATCCAAAAGAACACCAAATTCTCCGTTGAGGTCCAATCGATTCAAATCAAATTATTGTAAGGAAAACTTTTTTAATTGTGAAGGGTATTATGGCTTCGTTGCAACCGAAGTTAACGTCCTTTCTCGTTTGCAGGTAAATGCTTTCAAAACACTGCATGATATTAATTGACAACTTCCTTTAATTTCAGTTACTGGGATTTTCATAATAAATAAATCAAAAAACAAAAAAAAAAAAATATATTTTTTAATTTTTGTACGCTGACAGAACAATATCATACTTAAAATATACATTTGCATGAAAAAATACTAAAATATGGGTAAACTCCAAGAGAATTAGCTTCAGCGCGAGTCTAATACACATACCTCTAGGTTCTTATATTGAAACAACGGAGAATAAAACACCGCCCGTGTTTCCCAGAGCCTTGGAACCGTACGAAATCAGACCCGTGGCTGATGAGTTGGGGCTGACAAGTACAGAGAGAAAATCGTTGCAGAATGGTTGGACTATAATTAAACAAAAGCAACGCCGAGCAGCGCTTAATATCTATGTGAAGTATGTACATAAGCCTTTAAACTAGGGATAGAGCATTAAAAAGAAGAAAAACGAATGAATATTCATTTGGTAAGTGCGTGTCGCTCTGGTTTTTCAGTTTCTTCGCCGAACATGAGGATCTTTATGAAATATTTCGCTTTAACGGTGTATTGGACATTGAGTTCGCCAGTCAACATCAAAAGGATGTGCTCGCCGTTTTCCAAATGATCATTGAGCAGTTGGATAATTCACGCTTCGTGAAGACTATGATGAAAGAGCTTGCGCTTAGACATAGAGCTGCTTCTGTCAGCGGCACAATGTGGCAGGTGAGTGCGGGTGATGTTAAGTTAGTTGTATGTGGTGAGTGGGTTGGCGCCTAAAATGCTATGAAGAGGTGATAAATTTGAGTTTTCGAGCCTGGTTCACTTCTTTAGTGAATGGAAAGAGAACCGAAAGCCTTGTAAGCATCCTTAGTTAACAGCGTTTCGGCGCTCATGGATGCAGATTCTAGTTTAGGATAGGTTCAAGATTATTCTATGATAAGTGAAGCCATATACTTATGCAGGATATACATATTAGGTTGGCCACGAAGTTGTAAACACTCAGTGGGAGATATCGGAGGCCACGTTGTTGTTTCTGTAGCGGCAGAAAATCTTCCTGAAGTAATTTCAAGGCATGGTCATTTCCGGTCCGTTCCTTTTACTTAGACCGGACTGTCATGGAAACGGATCGGAGACCATATCATGTGCGAGCCATCTGCCTGTCTAAATAAATATTCGAATATCTCAATTTTTGTGTAAACAAACGCAAGTTTTGCTCGCATCCTTCTTTCTCTAAGAAGCTGTTCGTTTGTTGGAACCGCCGAAATCACATCCTTAAAGCATATATAAACTGATCGATCAAAAGCAAGATAAAGATCGTTGTATGTTTAAATTTTATGCTTTCTAGAGTTTAAAGCCCTTTTTGATATTTTATTTTTATTTTATTTATTTTTTAATTTAATTTAATTTTTTTTTTTTGCATTCTCTGCCTTCTTTTTTCACAGCTGTATACAAATGAAGTAAAACTTTACTTTCTGAAGACCCTGAATGATGCCCTTTCGCCAACATTTGTTCACGCCCTAGATACATTAATAAATTATATCTGCGATTTTAATGAATTCAATGAGTCGAGAGATGACCAGAGTCAACAGCAAGAACTTGACAAGGAATGATTGATAAATTCAAATTTGTGAAGTAAACTCATGTATATTTGTATTTGCGTAAATGTATTTCTAAGACTTTTTAAATAAAGACACTTTTATAAAGAGAGTGCTATATATTTTTTATAAATATTTTATTTTTTTTTTGGTCTGTGGAATATTTGCCGAAAACTACCTGAAAATTGTCAATATTTGAATATTTGCAACTAAAAAAAATCTCTATATTCTAAGTAATACATTATTATATTTGAAATGCTTAAAAGTTATTGAAACGCCCACTGCAAAGCTTAAAAGTGTGGTAGCAACTGCAAACCCTACCACTAGTACATATGCTCATGTTACGTATACGCCCAGGTATCCGCACAGTGAGTATGCGTTATAAAAGCGAGCAACTGAGCAAGCCACGAAATCGGCATTTTACTGATTATTAAACAGTTATAATATGTGCCTAAATGGGCATAGCATTTACATTCATTTGTTGTTGCAATAATACACCCACCACTAGCACATGATTGCAGCAACAATAAATCGTCGGCTTTTGATACCAAATTTTGAATATGGCAGCGCTTACTAAATACGAGCGGCGATCGGTCAATCAGTCGAACACAGTTAAACTTTATCTGTATTCCAGTGCTACTGTCCCACACACACACACACACACCATCTTAATTACAAAGATAACAATGCACACACACGCACACCTTTAGTCGCCTGAATTTGCGGTCACCTCGCGTCGTTTTTGTCGTTAGTTATGGACTGACTTAGGATGCGGTTAGCATCAATTATATTATATGCCTTATTTAGTCGCGCTTTTACCGCAAGAACTTTAGTTTCTCATTGACTTTTGTGCTGCACGCAACAAATGGTTGGACAGCAGTGTACGCGGTGAAGGGTGAAATGAAATTCGGTGTGCTTCTTGTATATATTTCATAGAAGTGTGTACACGTTTTACTGTTAACACAAAGAATTAGTGTTAAAAAATTTTTTTTTTTCTAAAATTGTTGAATAAAATTAGTTGGTGAAAAAGCCAACAAAATGCAAGAGAAAGTGGTGACTGTAAGTCAAATGTCAGCGGATTCGTTTAAAGGCAGCGGCAAAATTAAGGTGCGTTTGTTTTTTTTTTTTTTTTGATTAAAAAATATATGTGAGTAGTTAAGTTTTTTATTTTTGCCGTTCATTTGTTTGTTTTGCTCAGCATTTTAAGTTTTATTTATTATCTGCTGTGTAAAATAAATTTTGTTGAATGAGGCCTTTCAGCAAAATTTTCTAAAAAAAAATTGCTAAAATAATTTTGTGAAATACACATTATAAATTTAAATTAAAATAAAAAACGGTTCAATTAAAAAAAAAAGATTTTAATTCATATTTTAATTTTTTTTATTTATTCTTTAAATTTTTTAAAAATATTTTTTTATGCATTTTAGCCAAGAGACATCCATTAAAAAGACAGTTGAATTTAGATTTTTATTCATTTTTTTATTTATTTTGCAATACTGAGATTTCAACTAAAAGTGATTTTAAAATTTTTATTTCCAAATTTTGGTTTAAAAAGTTAAAACTAAATTTAAAAAAATCTTATTTTTCATAAAATTTCAACACAGTTGCATCTATTTTATTTCATTTAACTACTTTTGATCATAGTGTTGAAGTTAGAAACATGTAAATCTTTCATTTTTTAAATCTTTTCATTCCGGTTTTAATTTTAAAAATTTTTTGAAGTACATATTTTTAATATTAATTCTTAATTTTGAAATATTTTTTTTTTAATTTTCAAACTAGTTTTTGAAGCAAAAACATTTTAACAATTTTTAATTGAATTTTCCAGTTTTCCAGTTTTACAAATTAAAAATTTTAAATTTTAAATTTCATTTTTTTGTGTTATAGATAAAATAATTGCCAGTTCCAATATCGGGATTAAAAATAAATTTTTCAAAATTTTTATTCGAAACACTTTTAATTAGAAAAATAGCTTACCTTTAACCAAGCTTAAAACTCGTATAATACTGTTTTCATTGAACGAACAGCAGTTGAGCGGCTAATGAGGAAATTTATAAATCGTCTCAGACCCAGAAACAGTCGTATAATTTTTGGATATTTTTTGATAAATATTGTGAATATTTTAATAGTATCACTATAGTGTGTAACCTCTTCTGCGAACCATATTAGTAGATACATATCTCTTGGCTTACAAGCGAAATTATCAAGGATGTCTGAGCAGAGTATAATTTAAAGAGAGCATAACAATATTTTGACCTTAATGAAAAACACAACATTCTGCGCAAATATTCAAACAAGGCTTAGACAAAAAAAAAAAAAACAGGAAAAAGTATGACGAAAGAGGCAAGCTCCTCATTCCTTCTCGTTTATTAACACCTGTGGCAAACATTCAAGAAAGCTTCGCATATATATTCTTAGTCCAAGCTTCATTCAGAGTCGCCTGATGTTCGTTAAACAACTTATTGTGACAGCAGTAAAGCTTCGACTCAGAATTGCTCCCTTTTCACATGAGATATGTATATAGTTAGTTAGTTTTCAAGCGCTGTGATATTCTTTGGTATCTTATTAGGAAAAAGTACCACTCCAACGGCTGCACATGAAAATTACCATACCACCAGTTGACATTGCAGTAGAAAGCTGAGCAGCGAAATCAGCTGCATGACTGGCGGCGTTAGGTGAATTTTCCAGAAGAACCATCGGACATAGCTCACATACCCTCATGCTTTATCTGGGAGGGAAGGTTTCACTCCAAAAGAAGTTGGATGGCGTAGTTATGCACGGTCGTATAAAAAATAATTGATTGAATGGGTGTCGGGATCTGGAAAAATTGTTTTTGCTCTTCGAGACAATCAAACATAAAGACTATTTTTCTATTTATATATTTTTCGTTAAATTATATATATTATCATTATATGAATATCTGCAATCGATAGATAGTTTTTTGAGGAGTGGTGTATATGGTAAATCCCACCGTATTGCAACTATAGTAGCATACCAAGGTCTTAATTTTTTGGTAGCTTATCTTCTCTTTCAAATATGTATTCCATGAAGATGTCATAGAAATGTACTTAATATATTAATACGTACTTATTTTATATACAAATACATAGAAGAGCATAAATATGAGTGTTGCCAAAGTTTTATTATCTACATTCAATCTCTTATCATTGGACCACTTCAAGTGGTCGGAAAAATTCAATACTTACGAAGTGCCTTCATGTGGCTTGTGAATGACTCCAGAGCAAAATTTTTTCGAAACTGCAAACTGAACAGACAGTGATGATAATCAATCCTATCGAGGTACTTGTGAAAATATTTTTATAATTTTACCTTAGATGTGACATTAATTAAAAGTTGTAGCAACCACTAGTACTTTACTATCACTAACACTTAATTTTTCGAAATTAAAGAAAAATATTTAACTAAAAGTGATAACAGCACGATACTGATTCATTTGCAAGTATAATTGCTGCCACTTCACTTTTATTTAAACAAAAACAAAAAACAAAAAAAAAACAATTTCTCGTCAATAATTTTTGTGACGATTTGGGTTTTTCGATAACAAATTCGTCAGTAGCAATAATGAAAGATAACCGAAATAAAGCCACGATAATAATGACGATGGCAAACAATGATTTAATAAAGTAAAATAAATAATCTGTATAAATTGGTAAGAGGGTTGCCAGCCATTAAGTAATTATGGACAATGATCTGTTCCAAATTTTGTGAAGATAATTCGGGAAACAAAAAAGATTCCATAGAGAGATTTGAATTTGATAGATTTGATTAGTTTTTCTGACAGTTATATACTAAAGTGTTACGATGTGAACAACATGTTCGCAGATAGTAAGGTTCTTTTTCTTTTTATTGGCGTAGGTACATAGTATGGTTGCTTTGGAAAAAAATCTAAGTCGAATTCCGAACGCTGAAAATATATTGTCAGAAACAAAAAATATATTGTCAAAGACAAAAAAGCTTTCCATACAAAAAATTAATTTTGATAGCTCAGGCAACTATATACTATACATATAGTTTTTCTGGGATTTCCGATGTTTCCTTCGGGGTGTTACAAACTTCGTGGCAACCTGGATATACTTTGTTCTAGTTTTAATTATCAGTCAAGTAACAGTGAAAGAGCTTCCGATTATATGAAAGCTTTACAAAAGCTCGTTGAAGCTCGTTCCGATCACATGAAACTTTACAAAAGAAATGATCGAGATGTCATACTCCTACTTCAATTCTAATCCAAATTTCTGCTCAACCGCCGAGCTTTTCTTTAATTATCAGTTAGTAATAAAAAAAAACAAAAATATATCAAGATGGTAATCCTATAAGGCATTCGGCCGAAGCGTGAACCGTTATGCCGTACTAACTGAACAGCTTTGAACTCTTGGCGTAATGTTTATTGCCAAGCCACATATGTCCATATATTACGCATAACCCAGTGTAAAAAAAGTAGTAATCACTAATTGATCTCTGACCGATTTCTGTCACGTCCGATTGATGCATAATTAATTCGTTTATTGCTATGCAATATTTATGCATTTGTTTTCACTTTCAATAAATTTCCAGGTTCACACGCGAGTGCCTATGTGCTATGAGTGCTATGGCTTATCTGCTGAAAGGTAAACAAGGCAAGGTTTTTTTTTAGCTTGTTTATGATTACTATTATTATATATATTATATTACTATAATGAGATTTAAATTTACAAGAAGAACTTTCAACGCGCCAATATTTTGTAGAATTTTTTGGGGAATGCTTTCTGCCAGTACAACAAAAACCATTAGAAACTTGAAGATAAATCGATAACATTCTCTTTCAAGTACTTTGTTTTTGTTTTCTTACAAACTTTGGGCAAGTATTTACAATTAAATCTTAATCTAATCAGTTTAGCTGTCCTAAATTTTCTTTGCTTTTGTAATATTGGTGGCAAAAGTGTGACATACACACGCTTAAGTACTCTGCAGCTATCATAGAGCCTGCTTGGGAACTTTTAGACTGATTGTAATGATTTATGCCTTCATTTTGATGATTTACAAGCTTGTTGTCACCTTCACTGGTGGTGTTCCATAAATTTTAGTAGGAATT